TGGACGCGACCGACACACAACCGACCTGTACAGAAATTCCTGATCCAGGTCAATGGCGTAAATGGTTGGTCTTTGTTCGACGCCTTAGGTGGTTGTGGAGTACGAAACTGACATATCTTCACAGTGGGCGAATCGAGGCAGGAGGAGACGGCTATTACTGTTACGGGTCTGAGGCCCAATCACTGCTATAATATACGAGTTATTGCCGTTGGACCGAATAACTTCCAGGCAGGTAGCCAGGTCATAAGACTGCGTACCTATCGATCCGACGGACGGCCAGAACTGGGCAATTCGAGACTACCCGACAGTTTCCAAGATCAAGACCCACGACCAGGACAAACTCCGTGCGTCGAAGACAATGGCAGTCGTAGCCAGGTGCCCACCATCGAAGCGGCGCCGTCTCTCGAAGGCGGATCCGCCGCTGCGCGAGACAACACTTCCGGCCAGAGGCGCAACACTGTCAATCGCAGGCACTCCCCGTCCATAGCAAGTCAGGAGCAACCATCAATCAAGGATTTTTCCAGCGACCACCCTGAGGCGTCGCTCAAGGAACTTGCCGACACCTTGGAACGGTCGAGGAAGGAGTTTGTGGAGACAGCATCCTTACATGCAACCGAAGAAAGCGAGTTTAGACAGCTCGAAGAGCGGTTGAAAAAGGAAAAGGAGGAGAAAAAGAAGATTCAGAAAGAGAAGGACGATAACACCGCGCAGTTGAGGCAAAAGGTCAAGTCTACCGGCGAACAGATGAGACAGGCCACCAAGGAGAAGGCGCGGAAGGAGAACCTGTTGAAGGAGAAGCAAGAAAAGCGCAAGAAGGCGATGGACAACATCGAGAAATGTGTTGCTGAAACCAAATCTATGCGCAAAACTCGCGACGGGTTTGCGTCGGAAAAGGAAAGTCTTGCGCAGAGCCGTGATCTCAAGATCAAGCACCTGGATGAGGAGAACTCTGCTCTGCAAGATGAATATTCCCAACTCGAGACCGAATACAAGGAAAAGAAGGAACAACTCAAGGAGCTTGAGGATGCACGCAGAAAGCTGCCTGGTGGCGAGGAAGACGACACTTGGCGAGAGGATGACCGGAAAATGAAGAGAGATTTCGAGATGAAGCGCCGAGAACTTCAGAGTCAACTCATCATGGAGAACAGGAAGGCTCAACAATTTGAGGGTCACATCCACGTCCTACATGCCCAGGTCTACGCCCAGAACCAACAGAGCATGCAGTTCTACAATCAGGCGAATTCTTCCGGCGTCGAATTTGATCCGAACGCCTCGGCACAAATTAAGCGTCGAAGTCGCACCGGCAATGCTCTTCCCAACACCGTCGCATCGCCCACGGGCCCTTTCTCAGCCTCGGATTCTTCCTTCGACCCTCCGATCGGGTTCACCAGTCGAGCCCCGTTCTCGCACTTCTTGGATATGTCCGGAGGCGAGGCCTTTGTGAGCGACCAATTCTCTGATGCTGATATTAGGGCTCTCACGGGGAACGCACCGCTCAGCCCTACGGCGGCTGCCCTGCTACCTTCTGGCATCTTGGGTGACGACGAACCTAGCAGCCCTGACTCTCTCTCGCGCAGAAGCCCGTTTGTTCCGGGGTACGAAGATGACGCTCAGTCGCCAGGATCGTCCAGACGCTCAAATAGTGTTCCTTCTAGCCCCCCTGGATCTTCGCATGTCACCGCTTTCCCACCCTTTGCACCTGACAACGGTGATCCCTCGTCTCTCAAAGACATCACGTCCTCGCCCGGGGGACAGCCATCGCCAGCTGCAAGTGGACACCGGTTCACGGAGCTGATTCATTGGCACAGAACTAAAGGCTCTAAAGCTGCTGATGGTGGTGGCCCCATGCTGGGTAGCCTAAAGCATGGCCAGAGTCAGTCCTTCCCTCGGCAGACCGATGAACTGGATGGAACCAATCGACGCCGAACCAGCTTCTCATCCTACACCCAGAACCGGAACTCTGCTGGACCTGACACTCTTGAGGCGGCGAGTACATCGAACCTGGGACGCAGCATGTTTTCATCGGCTCGCAGGTTGATACCATGGAATTCGTACGGGGAGCGAGATCCAAGCAGCCCTAGACCGGCTTCCATGGCCTCGGCGGACTTGCCACGACCGTCCACCGACAGCGGATCCATTTGGAATCATCCAGCTGATCGAGGAAACCGATTTTGGGAACCAGCTGACGGGCGTTGGGCGTCACGAACTCCATCTAGACGACCCTCCCTCCACGGCTCGCCAGCGGCTCTCAAAACGACACTGGCTTCAGCCGAAGACGAGATCCTGGATCATGAAGCTTTGAATGATCCTCAAGTCTCGCCCAGTCAGGTTGGCGTCATTGGCAGTCGACCACCAGCCAGTAAACAGAACTCAGACAACAAATCCTTGTTGAGCAAGAGCTTAAACCCAGCAGCGCCGACCTTCTCTATTGGGGGACTATTCCGCAGTAAGGATAAGGAAAGTGACTCAGGCAAAGAGAAGGACAAGTCAAAGTCCAAGGACAAAACTAAGGACAAAGCCAAAGACAAGGACGCAAAGGAAAAAGGCAAGACGAGGGATGTTTCTACGCCCAGCCTAGACCTGCCGCAAGGCTACGATGCGTCTCCAACAGAGTCCAGAAAGTCCCGCGATGCCTTCTCCGTCCACACACAGGCATCGGTCACCGAATCTCGGGAGTCTTTGACCCTTGATAGGGCAGTCTCCAATACACTTTCTGACTCCAATATCAAGGACCAGGAGAACGCCTACAGGAAGCTCTTCAGGAAAGGCAGCTCCAGCAAGTTCAGTCTTTCGTCTCGTCTAAGCAAGGACTCGAGTCTCTTTAAGAAAGGGCCTGGGAGCACTACGAACTCGGACAAGAACTTGTCTGCGGATCGATCCAGCTTTGGTGACATTGACGACTTTGGCGAGGAGGGGTTGCTTGGACGAAGCTATGAAAGCGTCACCAGCAGCCCGTCCGCAGGCCCTGCCAAATCCAGAGACGCCAAGGAAAGCAGAATTTCTGGCTGGAGCAGTAAGTTTTCTATGAAGAAGAAAGGCAAGGATAACCGAGAAAGCCTTGAGTTCCACCAGGTTACCCCCGAGGGCGAGGTCGAGGGAGAAGACAAGAAAGACGAGTGAATCCAGCGGATCTGTCGGGGTCAGACAGTCGAAGCGATGTAGTGTTTTGCAAAAATCAGTAAAAATAAAAGATTAGGCGTTCCAAAAGCAACATTGTCTCAGACACAAATAATCGAGTGAAAATGACCAGATACCCATCTAATCTACTATTTCCGGTAACACTTGGATAGAGTAATACGGAGCACTGTGAAACCTCAATGTGCTTACGACAAATGCTGTTCAGGCGGCTGCTATCTTAGTGTCTAGGTATTGCGTTGACGTTTGCTCACTAACATTGGCACCAAGTAAGGTAGGCGGTGAGCCCAACAGTCGGCGGCAGAAAGTCTCAATTGGCAAGCTCCGTCCGAAAGCACGGGTCACATTTCGCGAGAGGAACGAACTGGTAGCTGTAGACTTACCCACCCAGATCGAACCACCCGCGCAAACCCGCCGCCCTCTGGGAATCTGCCGACGGAACCATTGAACGAAATTCAAGTGACACGATTTGTCGTCGTACATGCAACGAGGACGCACAATCGAGTTCAAAGCCTCGTTGCCATTTTGACGAATCCGTAAAACAATCTCTCTACGAACTGTCATCGGAAGAAACAAACCGGGCCGCCCGACCCTCCGAAAACGCCGGCCGTCCACCTTCGAACTCTTTCTTCCCCGATCCCTCGACCGACCAGACGGCCGACCCGAGCAAGCGGACACTCCTTCACTTCCCATAATCTTTCTTCCGCCAATTGATGGCCGCGATGGCGGCTCAGAACCCGACCGGCGGCGCCCCCGCGGACCTGCCGATGCCCTCGCGCAACCCGCTCCCCCTCTCGGCCTCCCAAGAGGCGCAGATCAGAGACATTTACCACGCGCGCGTGCGAAACGCCTGCGCACCCGAGATCAAGGGTTCGTTCTTCCCCTGAAGTCACATCATACCGTTGTCCTCTCTTCTCTCTCTGTAGCTCTCTCCGGAGATAACGCCCTTCTTCGAGTCCCCATTCCCCCGAAGCCTATCATAGCCCGTCCCTTACAAATCCTCCACGTCAAGAAGCTTCCTTGCAAAGAAAGAAAACGCCGGAAAAATATAGATACTAACAAACCAAAAAACCAACAGCCTTTGCAGACTGCGCCCTAAACCGCACCTTCACCGTCTCCTTCGTCTGCCGCACCCAGCTCCGCGCAATGAACGGTTGCATGAAGGCCCACGCCACCCCGGAGGAGCACGACGCCGCGCGCGAGGAATGGTTCGCCAAGCGCATGGAGCGGCAAAAGGAGCGCGAGCGCAAGGCCGTGAAAAAGGCGCAGCAGGAGGACTTTATCCGCGAGTGGTGGGGCCTGCCCGAGAAGGACGCCGAGACGAGGAGGAAGGAGGAGGAGAAGATGAGGCTGGGCGAGCGCGTGGGCGGGTACGCTGCGAGGGATCGGAAGAGTGTTGCGGCCGAGGAGAGGCGGTGATGGCTGGAGGACTGACTGATATGGGGGAGGAGATCGTTCGGGGAGGGGGCGCGGATTTTGCCCGTGTCAAGGAAGAAAAGGGGGAGGGAGATGCATATGTTGGGCGTTCTGGATTTATGGTTTGGGACACCCTGCTCTATGGCGCGGCCATTCGGCTTGTACAAATACACACACAAACACAACATTTCACATCATGTAGACTATATCAATCCAAAAAGGGGGGCCGAAGCCTAGAGATGGCGGTCATTGTCACGGGTACCACAATGGCCTCAAGTTTTCAGCTCTAGCTGGGTGTATCATTCCTCGAGTCTGTTCGCTCATGATCTAAGCGTTTTGATCTATTTGGCAACCCGGCTTGGGTATGCCTGTTTTCTTCATAAGATCCTCCACCCCTGAAAACGCCGAATTCCATTCTAGAAACAAAAGTACGACCGGATAGGGGTCCACTAGGCCTCTCTCTTCTGAAGCTCGGCAGGGAGCAGGGCGACCTTGTCCTGGAAGAGCTTCTCGGCGCGGGCCCAGACGGAATCGTTGCGCCAGTCCTTGAGGTTCAGGAGGGTAGGCAGCAGGTCGTTGCTGAAGGCCTCGCTCTGTCATTTATGTCAGCTTCACTTCCCGCGAATGCAATTCCAGCGTTGTCAAACTTACAGACTCCCTCGGCAACAAAGACGGAAGGTGGTCGATGGAGATGACGCTCAGGGGAGGGTTCTCCAGTCCCTCGACGGGGACGGTGGGCTTGTCGAAGGTGGTAGCCACGGTGTAGACGGGGACTATGAGTAAATGCATTGTCAGCATTGTCTGATTGATAGAGCCGTCTAAAGGTGACTTACTCGGGTTGTGGGGGTTGGTGGTGTCAGCAGAAACATCGCAAATCACGCTGAGGTTTCTACCGGGGACCTGCAGAGACTCGCGGTTGAGGAAAGCTAGAAAAGTATTGTCAGCTTACGGCCCCGCCAATCGTACGCTGTGTCAACCAATTCATGATCATGACTCCACGAGTTGATCATGTTACTCCTTTTTCAAGAGAGCATGCCAACAGATGCTTGACACCGGATTGAAAGGGTAGTAACATACGGGGAATAGGTTGGCTATGGGAAACATGTGTTAGTACAAGCTCAGAATTGGGGTTATTCCCAAAGAGACGTACCTGAGGTAGATGCAGTTGACGAAAATGTCGGCATCCGTGATCTCCTTGTAAGGGCCGGGGTTCTTGGTCTCCTCCATATCCTGCAGCTCATGTTAGTGCGTGTTGCAATGACCAAACTGGGAATGACTTACCCAGCGGACGATATCCTCAACACCGGCTCTCTTGGCCATCTCAACGGCACCGGAACCGCAACGTCCAAGAGCACCAATCACAATGACTCTGGGCTTGCGACCAGCCTTGGCAATACCCTCGTCCAAGGCCTTCTTGACATCGACGATGAGAGCATCCTCATTGGGGTACGCCTCGACGGCAGGGAAGGGCTCGCCAGGGTGGGTGAGCTGCCAGGCCCAGTTCTCGAGAGCAAGAGCAGCGCCAGAGAAACCAGCGTGGAAACCGAAGGCTGCGACTCTGCGACCGGACTCGTTGGCCAAGAACTCGAGGTCGAGAAGAGTGCCGCCGCCACGGGGGAAACGGCCGAGTGTCTTCTCCCAGCCACCTTGGTTCTATAGCTTGGTTAGCGAGCTCTCTGGTGGTATCCAGCTCAATTGGGGCTTGTATACCTTGTAGACGTGGAGGAATGTGACGTGGACGTGCTTGAGAGGGAACTCCTTCTCCTCAAGCTCCTTGAGACCGACGATGATCACGTCCGATGGGGCTGACTCCCAGGAGTATTCGGGCACAAGGGTTGCGCCAGCGGCTTCGAACTCGGCATCGTCAAAGATGCGAACCTGGGGATCGTCGGGTCAATAATTCGTCCCTCGCGAAAGACAGATAGTACATCGGCGAGAACGTACGGGGCTCCTTTCAACTCTGACTTCGTAGCCGGCCTCGACCAGCTTGCGAGTAGTGGTGGGGGTGAGGGCGCTCCTGTGTTCCAAGGGCTGACGTCAAAAGTTAGCTATCTCTGAATACCCAAAGTCAATGTTGGTTTGCAGAATCATTGCACACCTTGGTTTCGGATCGGAGATGAAGAATAGTGTGGGCCATGTTTGCGACTTGGATTGAACTGTTTGCGACTACAATTGATTGCTGTTGCTGGAGAGGAAACTACGAAAGTTCGAGGCGGGAAGGTTGAGGATGATGAAAGTTGAGTGTGGGGCAATGACTCCAAAACATCCCACCTTGTGTGTGACTCTTCTGTCCTGTATCCGTAGGGGACTGATTATTTCACCGCTTATCGGAGCGCGGGGTAGGCCTGGTACCTATGGGATGGCAGTTGCCAGTGAGGTGAACCCAATTTCTTCCCTTCTTTGTTTGGCCATCCAGGCGAATAGAATCTCTGTCTCCGACGGATGAGATTTTTTATTTTCTCTTTTTTTTTTTTGCGACATTCTGCCAAGCATGAACTTCCACCACTCACGCAGCAGCGGGTGACGCCATGCAGGTACCGGCCGAAGCTGCACCGTCGTCTCCAACGCTCTCTCGCTTTCGGGCAGGTCACCAATGGGCCAATCAGACGGACTCGCCGATATCGCTTGACCTTGATATTTCCATGCTTTCCATGGCACTTGATGACCATGCATAGGTATTGTACATTGAGAAAACATTGATCGAGGTTTCCTGAATCAACGTCGTCTAGATTTAGTATGCAGTCTCTACACCGATGGTCTAAGGTAGCATGGTGCATTCGTATCTAAAGCCGCGGCATGAATTTTGAGTCTCCCAATAATTCAAGTACACCCTCAGCTACACCCCAGGACATCTCGAACCCCCTGCCCCCCAGACCATAAGCATGGATTATGGTGCGCTTCTCTCCCACCTCTTCTCTTTCCAGCCTCATGCCGCCCTTTCGAGTCGGCCGTCGGCCTACGACATCTTTGAGGACGCGAAACTCACCATCGTCCCCAAGGATCTTAGGATATGTAGCAGCGAAGTGTTTGAGGAGCTTTTCCCGCACTTCTGGCGACGGTTCAGTGTCCCAATTGTCAGGTTCCTTTGTGCCACCCACGATCGTGCCGCCATCGAAATTTCGAGGCACGCAGAAAGTCCAAGATCCATCAGCATTCTGTCTTGTCACGGTTGCTGGGCTGAAGTTGGCGACAGCACACGTTTGACCTGAAGAACCTCATTAGCAAAGTCGCCAAAGTAAGTTGGATGTGAGTGGCCGATATACCTCTCGTGATGAATGAGTTTGGGTCACCAAATCCGAAACCAGAGCAGTTGACTACATGTCTCACGTTCGGCAACTCTTTCAGTGAGAAAGCCTCACGGGGATCCCTGAGTTCTCTGCGGAAGATTTGGCCGCCATTCCAGGAGAACTTGCGAAGGAGGAAGGAGCAGTAGACCATGGGGTTCACACACCATGTCTTGTACTCGCATCCCCACTTCACCTTGTCATCTGGGTATTCGGTTGGGTTCAGGAGCCGGAAGTCTACCAGTCCCAAGCTCTGGGCCTTTTCCTCGCTGAGAGCTTGGTATTGTGGCGGAGGATCATCGAGGTATTCAATACCAGGCATGAAAGTAATACCGGCTTCAGGATTGCTCTTCACCTGGGACTCCATGTGCCGGAACGTTCTGAGGGCCATCGCATGATCGCGCTGTTCCATCTCGTTGGCCGGTATGACCCAACGGTTGTGAGCGCCGCCCCATTGTGAGGTGTAGTTGATTGAAGCTTTGCTGTCAACGGTCTCAAACGGACTCGGGAAATCCTTGGCCACTATTGCTACTTTATGGCCCTCTTGTTGAAGCCTTACAGCAGTGCTCAACCCGATCACACCGGCTCTGTCTTATGTTAGCGGCCACTCAGATCTGAAGAGGAGGAAGGGTGCTTTGGTACCCAATCACCACGATTTGTGCCATCTCGCAAAAGTATAAACCTGCTGAATACTGTGGGGGAAGCGTACGTCAACCGTGTCAAAAAATGGTCGATGACAAAAGTTGTGAGTAGTACCATGAAAACTAAGTCGGCTTCTTACACGGAGCAAAATCAACCTACTCGGATGGCGGGTCCACCAACAATAGAATATAGTGCGCCGACCATCGGAGACAGTATCGGCGACGCCCGGCCCCAGAAGCATCGCCCGAGCCCGGGGACTCCGGTCAAGAAACCGACAGAATCTCTAGTTAGCCAACCGATCACGGCCGGTCTTTTTCCCGATCGCCTTCACCTTCCTCCCACCCATTGGTGCTTCACGGCAACCTTCGAGCTAGGCGCTGAACCACAGTACCCCAAGACACCTCCACCCTTGGAAATGTTGCTTGCTTACGACCGTCTCATCAATCCACAAGACGCAAGACCGAAACCTACAAGTTGTCTCACGGGCAGACCCATGACTTCCTGGACCGAAAAGTTGACCTTCGTAAAAACAGAGATGGGTCGATGATTTTTTCTTTCGAAGCCATGTGGAACGTGGACACGCACTTTGAGCACTTCCCACACGATCGGCGGATGCAATGTGCCTCAACGGCCCCGGCTGGGACAGGGTAGTCTCCCGCGTTACATTCTCGCTTCGATGCCCGAAGACCTTGCACCGTCGGCATTCTCGCAAATCCCCAGAAACCCCATGCCCAAAGGAAACATCAAGGGCGGTCAGAGTTCAACAAGATCAATAGAGTGACCAGCCAATTTGGGGAGCTTAGCCAATGGCACGAAGTCTCCCGCCGAACCAACCCCGCGCGCCTGTCTCTCACCACCCTGGTCTCGGCGCCTAGAATGCAGTGTGATTGTCTGGCTGATTGGCCCAGCCTGCAACCTTTCACAATCTATTTTCGTCTACCCATTTCGACCACCACCATCCTTTCCCCCCTTCCGGCCGCCCCTCCATCCTCTCTTTGGCTTCACGGTTCACCCACTCACCGCGGCCCGTCTGTCGAGAAGCCCAGCGCTTACACTGGCCTTTCCGTGGGTGACCTGCCGCCCTGTACCACGCGCAATAGTGCCGCTGTTTCAAAGGGGGGAGGAGAGTAAGGTAATTCGTATATACACTCTCTTGGTATCTTTGGTAGTCGTATGTTTACACGGCTTTTCTCTTCCTTTCATCTGTGCTGTCTACCTAGTACTGCAATAATAAACTTGTTTGTTGTTTGCTTGGTGCCCACTGGGTTGGATATCATGCATCGGTAGCAGCTGGACTACCTGTTCTTCATTCCTTTCAGGCCACTCCCCCCTACCCCCATATTTCGTGACCAGACTTGAATATCATTAACACGCCGGGGGAGAAAAAAATCAACGACAACATTCGATTCGAGATAATCCGCCCCAGCATAGCCCAGTATGTCGTCGTCGACACAGCCACCCTCTGGAGGGTACTCACTCTTCCCGAACCCCAACTCCAAGCCCCCAACAATAAGGAGGCCGGCATCTCGAACTCGAAGATCAGAATCGCGTGAGCGGCCCCGGGCTGTGTCTCCTGAGAGCGTTCACCACGTCGATCAAGCGTCTCCACCGCGTCACGGAAGACAGACGCCGCAACAGACAGTCCAAACACCGGTTGAGCGATCGCAAACTCCACAAAGCATCCGCCAGGCCCCATCAGGTGAACAGCAGCAATATCAACATCCCTCGCCGCGGAGTCGCGAGCTGCCGGCCCTGCCCCCGCCGTCGGCCACGGAGGCTTCGCCCATCCAAAGGCCCCCTCCCGTCGCCGATATCCCGCCCCGGTCAGATACCGCCTTCTCACAAGCACATACGCTTGTACGGAACAATAGCACGCGGTCCAGAAGCTCGATAGCAAAGCTTCCGTTCCCCGAGGAACCCTCGTCGTCTTCACAAGAACAGCCTGCTCTCCGATCCATCTTCCCTCAGTATAACCCGGAAAGGCCTCTCAACCAACAAGACTACTTCCCAACGCAAACAAGCCCAACTCATATCCCACGGGCTGTGATCAACCGGACAACATGGTATCCGAATCCCCAGGAAGCGGAAGGTCAAAATGATCAGCACAGGAGTCCACCCATGAGGAGTCCCCTGAGCGGGGGCTCAGCGCAAAGATGGCCAAGGAGACAAATCGAGCCTCCCATCATCCCAAGTGTCTCATCAAATGAGCACATGAAGAGCCTGTGGAAGGTCTCCAACGGATGGAAAGCACCTCCTTCAGAAGGCAGAGTGTACTGCATGAAGCTGTCCCAGGAGAAGGACGCACCCGTGTACACACTCTCCTCGACATCACAGCCCTTTTACAACATCCGCCTCGATCCCACGTCTGCATCAGCATACGTCACTCTCAGCCGTCACGACCCGGCCAAGGTCTACAAGGCCCCGAACCCCATGGCAAGCTCGTCAGCGAGCAGCATCCTCTCCGGCGTCGTCGGCCACAAGGACAGCAGCAACAACGGTAAAGGCGCCGAGAGCAAGCACTGGCAGGAAGTCCTCACCACCACACTGGAAGAGGAATCCCGCAAGCACCCGCCCAACGACGGCCTCGTCGCCCTCCTCTACCCGCTGGCGGCCGCCAAGATGGCCCTTGACAAGCCGGGCGACATGAACGCCATCATGACGGCCGAGACGGAGTGCGCCCGCCTCGTCTGGGACGAGGACTCCCGCTCGCACTTCCTCGTCCACCCGGCCCTCGCCACCCCCTTCTGCGTCACCATTGAGCGCTCACCCGCCTGGAGCCGGGTCGAGTACACGCTCGAGCACCACGAGTCGCCGCAGCACCTCGCCAAGCTGACGCGTGACGGCACGGGCGGCGGCTACCTCGAGGTCGACACGGCCATCGCCGCAAAGATTGACAGCTTCTTCATCGTCGACGTCGCCGTCGCGGCGCTCATGCTCGTCGCGGCGGCGGACGAGAAGAACACCAAGGTCGAGACCTTTGAGCCGCCCCCGGCGCCGCACGATCCTGTCGGTGGCAGCGGCCGCGACAGCCGGTTGAGCAAGAGGGAGGAGAAGAAGAGGGCCGCGGCGGCCACGCGCAGGGGCAAGATGGAGGAGTTTGAGATCGACGTCGAGAGCCAAGACAGCAGCTTTGCGAAGCTGGAGCAGGTCGGCAAGGAGACGCGCGACAGGCTGCCCTGGCCTTTAAGAGCGCTGTTCAAGGTTGTGGCTG